TTCATCTTCTGCCTGTCCTCTGCTTCCTTATAGTATTTCATTGCCGCTTCTTTGTCAAGATCCGAATCATCTGAAAGCTCTGTTGCAGCAGATGTGGAAGCCTCTGAAACAGGCTTTGGTTTGGCCTTGGTGGATTTTACCTTCAGCTTCAGTCCTTTCTTGCCAGCCTTATCCTTAAGTGTGAGGAGATGACGAATTTCGGAGGACAGCCTCTGATCCACAACTGAAAGCTTGTTGATCAAGTTTCTGTAGGTAACAAGTCTTTCTATTACAGGATGTCCATGTGCAGGGGCTCTCCGAGCTTTCAGAATCAAATAAAAACTAATGTTGAAACAGTAACTCAAGTAGAGGTTGTACTTGGTCTTCACGTATTGGCTTCCTTTTCCAGGTGGTATGATTCCTTGTTCCACCAACTCTAACAACGGCTCCAGCTCATCCTTGACCTCTGTCAATCTAAATTTCAGGTCTTCCATTAACTCCAAGAGCTCTGGTGATTCCTTTCGCAGCATCTTTAGCTTCTCTTTCACCGAAATTTTTGTTAAATCCTTCTCGACGCGTGTACCGACCTCATCCACCTGGGGCATTGGCTTTGCAAAGGCCTCCACCCAGGTGACCCCAAAATCATCCTCTTGCAGGGCCTGAGTTAGCCGCTTCTGGATGAGCTGTGCCTCCTCCTCCTCCTCTCTTTCTTCCTCCTCTATCTCTTGTTGGCTCTGCCGGCCACGGGACTTGGGGCCATAGTCTGTATCATAATAGAGTTTTTTCCTCTGACCCCACGACAAACTGGGATCCACAGAGGTCTCAGTCTCGCTCTGCACGGAGCTCCCGCCATCATTATCGTCATCCTCCTCATCCCCCACACTCTCATCATCTTCGTCGTCATCATCGTCAATATCTAGGCCGAGCACCTCCTCTTGCTCGTCACCATCCTCCTCCTCGTCCCCACTGTCTCCTTCATTCCAGCCCTTAGTCAAAGCAGCCCGAAAACGTGTCTCGTGGAAATCATCTACCTCGTCTTGGTAATAGCTGGAGTCCCCAGGTGAAGGTGGCAATTCGGAGTCGTCCTCCTTCTCATCCATCAGGCCGCGACTTGCATTGCCGCGCACAGCAGCCCATTTGGCCGCGCCGCGCCGCCGGGACCGCCCCGCCATGTCTTTGGGGTATCTTTTCAGTCACTTACACCAGCAGGTTTTGGCGCTCTCTGACTTGGCTCTCGCACGACACGCTTAGGCAACACGCCGTGCAATCTCCAACCACGCCAGTCTGCAGATTCTCCGGTACGGGGCTGGAGCTTCCGGCTATGTCCCGCTCCCAGAATGCTCTTTGTGTGGCGAGTGAACAAGGACTTCCGCTTGGTTCTGTAGTCCTAGTAACGTTAATAGGGTCTCTTTATTACGTTGCGCCTTTTAGAGACACTGCTTCCGGTGGATTAAAACGCTCCGTCTAGAAACGGCAGGAGAAGGGAGTTTTGTTCCGCACAGTCCTTTCCCGAGACTTCTGTTTTTCTCGCGAGTCTAAGAATGAGATCATGGAGGAACTGCAGTACTACAACGCAGAGCCGGTAGAGGGCGTGCTACAGCTATGCCTACGCACGGTCTGAGGAAAGAAAGGAAGGGAAGGGAAGGGAGGGAGGGAGGCCAGGAGGCCAGGCGCTCTTTAAGGGAGCTTCTGTGAGCAGTGTCCCTTGTGTATTTAATTACCTGCCGATGGCATGCAGCTCCTTAGGGAGTTACCCTGCTAACTCAAAGGCAGTGCCTCTCTGGCAGTTGGATCCCGCCTGCGGCGGCCCCGTGAAAGAAAGACGGGCGAATTCCCCCCAAGCGATTTGTTGTTGTTGAGTACCTTTAAATCAGAATGGGAAGCGACTTACCCAGATTTTCACAGGCAGTAAATTGCATGGGAGGAGCGTGCCCTTTTCCTTTCTTGGAACAGGTGGTGGATTCTAAATGATGTCTTTGGAATTACAGCTCAGTTTATCTGTAAGCCACCAGAGCTTCCTCCATGCGATTTACAGCCTCGGAAATCCACTGAAGGGTCAGCTATGAGTTGATTACGACCTAAAGGCAATACGAGGGTTTATTTATTCATCTGCTCCCCTACTTGAAGTTCATGAGATAATTTTTGTCATACTTCCACCCTCAAAGTGCAAGCCTGGCTATGCTTTTAGGCACAACAGTCAGAGGCTGCAATAGCTCCTGCTGGACACCAGAGCCCAGATTTTGGCATCCAGGTGTGAGTGTTTGTGAAGTCTTAAGATGGGGCTAGTCCATAAGCATCTCAGTTTTCAAGTCCTTAGGACTCAGTGACTCCTGGGGATTTGTCTCAGGGACCTCTCCAAATTACTGAGGAGCAATGATGTTAGTTTGAGGAGTAAGGTGCTGTTGTTTCAGACCATGGTCTTTTCAACCACTTCTATGCTGCTGAGCGCTGGATAATGAATAAGGATGGCAGAGGAAAAAAAAAAAAAAGATGCCTTTGCGCTATGGTGTTGGAGAAGAGTCCTGAATATCCCATGGGCTGACAAAAGAACAGATACATCTTAGAGATGGTTCAGGCAGAGTGCTCCTTGGAAGCAAACATGATAAAGCTTTATCTCACATACTTGAGGCATGTTACTAGGAAAGGCGATTTGTTGGAGAAGGCCATTATGCTTGGAAAGACGGGGAGACAGAAAAGGAGAGGAAGACCTTCAACCAGGTGGATTGACACAGTGACTGTGGAAATGAGCTCGACTGGGTCAGAGATTGTGAGGTTGGCACAGGATTGGACAGGGTTTAGATATATTTTGTTCACAGGGTCGCTATGAGTTGGACTTGATTCTATGGCACCTAACAATAATAGGTATTACCTGAAGCAGTTCTGGTGGCTTAGTAGTAAGGTGTTGCGTTACCAACCCAAAAGAACATGCTTCAAATCTACCACTTGCTGCCCTGGAGAAAGCTGGAACAATCTTACATGAGATTAACTGCCTTTGAAAACCTGCTGGAGGGTCAGCTCTGAGTCAGTTCTGACTTGAGGTTTCATTAACAACAACAGGGGTACCTGAGGGAAGAGAGTGAGAAGTAAAGCTCTGTTATTCCTTGCTTTCACTCTTTCCAAGGAATTCAAGTGAGCTACAAGGATTGGTCCCTAGACAAAGGAAACGGCACCATGATTATTCAAAATAGTCTGGAACTTGTTTCGGTGACAGACCCTTTATTCATTCTTGAACATTTGTTACTCATTAAACATGCATGTGATGATGAAGAAAAGTGGACACCACTACTGATCTAATGGATCTTATGATCTAGTGAGGGAGGCATGCAAGTTAAGTAATCATAAAAGATGTCATGTGGCTGTGTGGATCATAGGAAGTAATGGCTAACGTTGAGAAGAATGGGAATCCCAAAATACTTAACAGTGATGATGCAAAACCTATGCTTAGACTAGGACGTTGATGTCCAAACAGAGAAAGGGAATACTGCATGATTTAACGTAAAAAAAAAAAAAAAGGTGTATGCTGGGGCTGTATCCTCTATACCTATTCAATCTGCATGCTGAGTATATAATTCGAGAAGTTGAACTTTATTCTTTTATAAAAAGGAATGGTGTCAGGATTGGAGTAAGACTCATCAACAATCTGCATTATTCAAATGGCACAACCTTGCTTGCAGAAAGTGAAGACTTATGGTAGAAGTAAAAGACTGTGTAGACTTCATATGCATTACATGTCAACATCAAGAAAACAAAACTCACCACTGAACCAATAGGCAACATCGTAATAGATGGGGAAAAGGATTGAAGTTGACATAGATTTAATTTTACTTGGATCCGCAATCGACATCCGTGGTAGCAGCAGTCAAGAAGAAAACATGTGTGTTGTTGTTAGGTGCCATTGAGTTGAGTATGACCCCTAGTGACCTATGTACAACAGTTCTGAGCCCTGTCCTATCCTGTGCCATCCTCACACTTCCTGACACACTAGAGCCCATTGCAGCTGCCACTGTGTCAGTCCACCTGGTTGAGGGTCTTCCTCTCCTTTGCTGACACCCTACCTTTCTGAACAGCATGTCCCTCTCCAAGGAATTACTTTACTTAGCAACATATTCAAAGTATGTGAGGCGAAGCTTTATCATCTTTGCCTCCAAGGAACACTCTGGCTGCACTTTCTCCAAGATATATTTATTTGTTCTTTTGTCAGTGCATGGGAAGTTCAATAGTCTTCTCAAGGCATCAACTCTTCTGTCATCTTTATTCATTGTCCAATTCTCAGATGATCAGAAAGTGATCAGAAAGACCATGACCTGAATCAGACACACATTAGTCCTCAAACTGACATCATTATTCGACAATAATTTGGAGAAGTCCCTGACTTCAGACTTGCCTAGTGCATTATGTTGCCTGATTTCCTGACTGCTGGTACAAAGTTGTTAATTGTGGATCCAGGTAAGATGAAGTTGTTGACAGTTTCAATTTTTTTTTTCTCCATCCATCATGATGTTGCTTATAGGTTCTTTGGTGAGAATTTTTGTTTTCTTGATGTTGAGATGCAACTCATATTGAAGGCTGTATTCTTTGATCTTTTGCAGCAAGTGCTTCAAGACCTCCTCACTTTCAGCAAGCAAGGTTGTGTCATCTGAATAAGGCAAGTTATTTATGAGTCTTCCTTTGATCTTTTTATTTTTAAAAATTTTTTTTTTTGTTACAAACCCTTGTGTCAAGGGCTAACTTTCAGTAGAAACAAGGGAGCTTCTCTGCTACATATGAAACCCCAACCCAGGAGCAGGTTGTCTATCAATGGTTTGGCACCAGGCTCCCCATGAACGGGTGGTGCTTGCTCCGATCTTGATGCCACATTCTTCTTCATATAGTCAAACTCCTTGACGCTATAAAAAAAGATGAGTTTGTATTGGGAGAATTTGATGTCAAGGATCAAGGAGGATCAAGGAGGAGGATAAAGTTCTAAGGAGGAAATATATTAGTTTGAGGATCAAGGTGTAACTGATCCAAGCCATTGGGTTTTCATTTACTTCCTATGCATCTGAAAGTTGGATGATAAGTGAGGAAGACAGAAGAATCAATGCCTTTGAATTGTAGTGTCGGAGAAGAGTACAGAATATCTCACGGATTTCAAAAAGACCAAACAAATCTGTCTTGATGGAAGTGCACCCACAGTGTTCCTTAGAGGCAAAAATCGACATCATCCCTGGAAGGGTAGTTGTTATGTACCAACTCATAACTGACGTGGCTTTGCTGAGGCAGTAAATCACCTGGGAGGAGATTGCCCATCTTTCATTCTCAGAGCAGCTGGTGGGTTGGACCATATATTTTTGGGTTGGCAGTGCTACTCCTTTTTTTTCTCTCTAATTTTTTTCCCTTCTTTTAAAAAAATTTTAATGAAAGTTTACAGAGACTTTGAATTTCCATTCATACATTGTTGCACACTTTCCTCCCTACACACCTACCTCCAGTTCACTTTTCTCTTTGAAGAAAAAAATTATTTCATTGTTATACAATCCTCTTCCCCAAGTCCACTTTACTATGCAGCTCTCATTCTGGACTCTTCCCATGAAAATAATATCTAATCATATATCCCTTTTAAACATATATCCCTCATCTGTTTCAATGCAGTATACATTATACCCTCTTTTCTTAATTTCCCTCAAACCCCATTGTCAGTCCCATTTTACAACAGTGGCACTATGCAGTGTTTGCCCTTTTATGACAGATATTTCACTCAGCACAATGTTCTCCAGAGTCACCCATCTTGTATAATATTTCATGAGTTCATTGTTTTTCAATACAGCATAGCATTCCATTGTGTGAATATACCAGAGCTTCTCTGTCCATTCATTTGTTGATGGCCACTTGGGTTGTTTCTAACTCTTTGCTAATGTGAACAAAGTAGCATAAACATGGGTGTGCATATATCTGCCTGGGTGGCAGTTCTGGTTTCTTTAGGGTAAATTCCCAGTAGTGGGAATGCTGGTATTTCTATTTGCAACTTTTTTTTGTGTGTGTGTGTTCGTGTACCATCAAATAAAATCTGACTGGTACAGGAGGAGATTGTCCCTCCTTCCCCGGCAGAGCATCTGGTGGATTTGAACCGTTCACCTCTGGGATTGTAGTTGCAGCTCCTTGCCATATTTGCAACTTTTTGAGAAAGCGACAT